CGATTTGTCAAATTTTGTTGACTTATCGAACATTAAGTAATCTAATATTTTTGCAGTAGTTTAGTAGAAATTTGTATTCTGCTTAAACAAAGAAGATTAGCGAAACAAATTACTCTTTATATGTCATATAAAACAGCTATTAATTTCAAGGTAATCTTGCAGTAGTGAATATATCTGACTAGATATCTATAATGTCAAAAATCAAGTTCGAGTGTTTTACATTTCACTTGACATTTACCAATCGAAGGTGATAATTTCACTACAATAGAACCTCGATTGAAAAATGTACTCCAGATTTAACAATCGCAAATGGTATAAGATTTCTATAAAGTTGTAAAAAGTTATAGAAAAAATAAACAATTAAGCATCTTACCTGTGAATGCCCGCCTGTAGCCTCCAAAAGAAATCGTTGTTTTGGGAATTATTTTTTTAACAGTTTCTCGAACTGTTCATCGGTAACAAAGAAAGATTTATTACATGTCTGTTTATATCTAAAGGTTTCAAGCGAGTAATGTGGTAGTAAAAAAAGTGAAATAACGATAATAATGCTTGAGGAATTTGCTAGGACAGTATAAGTTCTCTCAAATTTCGATAACTTTATATAACATACTGTTGTCAGAACTCAACCACAATTTACAATAAACTTAAAGCACTGAAGAGGGAATCAATTCGGTTCTTGGTAATAATCTGTAACACCTGACTGTTTAAGAGTTACTTACATCTATGAGAGTAATCATCTTTACATTATCCAATAATTAATTTTCGTGATAATTTATTCCATTGTTAACAAAAACCAAAACTAAATATATATTATTTGTATGTTTATGTATTTGTAATCCGAGCAGTGACGACTGCTCTAAGGTGCGGAGGTGTGCGGTGAACACCCTAACATAATTTGCAAAATGTCAAATAACATAGGTATATAAATTTATTAAGTATCTTCACATCAAGAATTATTATTATTTATTACATTTCCATAAAATTTAAAAGTAAGCAAAAACAATAAATATATTGCTATAAAACTCCAATCATTTGCTTCTGTTACTCTATACTTGTTAGGGGGGCTCAATATATTTGCAGCTCAAATCACAGAACTTTCTATTATATTTCGTCCCTCCCCTTTGTGTGTGCAAACGAAGTTGGCCCGCACATTCATACGTGCCATATGAACAAAATAATTGTGCGTGTACTCCCGTTCGTAATATCAGAAAAAGAGATTTAAATAGTGGGAATTTAATGAGATAAATTTTCTGTCATTCGAATATCAACTGCCACGCAAAAAACTCAACATGATGATTGCCAAAGTGGTTGCATTAGGCGGCTGAATTTGGCTACTCATGCTCAGCAACAATTTCTATCACACAATCGTTCTCTTTCCCTTTTAAACAGTAGGCACCCGCGAATTTCTGTTCATTACTGTCGGAGTACTTTCCGCATCATTTATCCGTTGGCAAAGTGGGTTTGATTTTGTTTGATCACTGCATAAACATGTATGTTTCCAAGTACAAACTCTTTTGTTTGAAAA